GCAGCGTGAGCAGGCGGTCCTCTCCCTCACCCCGCCTGCTCCCCTTCTCTGTCGATGAACCCCGTGATCCAGAGCGCCCTGTCTGCAGCAGCTCTTGGTCACGTGACTCCTGTGTGGCTTGCTCAGTATTCGTGGGTTTTATGAAAAGTTCCACCAGTACAGCCTGTCTCTTCATTGAAACACACACACACACCTACAATAGGTCGTGAGAATTTGCTGCTACTCCGTGTAACAAATACCTTCTGGCTTTGTCTCTGACAGTTCTTTGTCTCGCCTCATCTGGCCACTTTCGTTTTGAGTGTGGTGCCTCCAATATCCATCCTTGCGGTGATTTATGGACGATACCTACGGAAACTGACCAAACTCACTCAGGACTCCCTGGCACAAGCCACGCAGGTAGGTACAGGCCTCCCTTGGCACGGTCCCCCTGAGTGAGCTCAGAGCCACCCGTGGGCGGACCCTAGGAAATGTGCTCAGACTTGGCAAAAACTGCTTACTTTTCCTTAACTTTAGAACTAAAATACTCTGCCCTCTAGACTAGATCACTACTCACCTGTCAGAATAGATCCAGCTTAACTGAACATTACCTGGACTTCTTCCTTCTTCCCATCACTGTTTCTTGTAGGACAAAAAAGCTAACCATATTTTCCAAACACTTTCTGGGTGCCACTCTGTTCTCCGTTAATTAATAAAGGTAGCTTTGCAATGCTGTCCAGTATTGTCTTCTTAAAAAATTAAAAATAATTCTTTCCTTTTCATATTACAAAAACCATCCATGTTTCTGTTTGAAAATATAAAGGGGAAATATAATATGCATCAGCCTGCCTCTCAATTAACATTATTAATATCTTAGAGCCTGTCCTTTTTGTAAGTCTTTTTCTCTGCATGAAGACATATTTCTGTATCTGGCTGTATACCCTCCGGTTTATCTTTCCATCTACCTCTATATAAGCTGTGCATCTGCACAGATCGATGTTTCCAAAAATAAGATTGTTCGGGACTCTCTCCTTTGCAGCCTGTTTTTGGCTTAGTCACGTATCCCTGCAACTTCCACTGCTCGTGTCTTAAAAATGAGAGCTGGTTTTCAGTGCCTCCAGAACTCTTGGCATGTGACCTCCCCCCCCCCGCCCCCCCAAATGTCTTTGTTCTCCCAGCTAGCCGAGGAACGCATCGGAAACATCAGAACTGTTCGAGCTTTCGGGAAAGAAGTGACTGAAATCGAGAAATACACCAGCAAAGTGGACTTCGTGATGCAGTTAGCCAGGAAGGAGGCGATCGCTCGGGCAGGCTTCTTCGGAGCAGTAAGTGCATCGCTGCGGAAAGGGAAGAAGGCGGATGTTGTCACTGGGAGAGAGTGCTATTCTGTGACTCTGGCCATAGAGAGAAAGTGAGTCTATTCTACCTCGGGACTAGGAATTGTCTTCCTTAGAGTGCTTTTGTGAGAGAGGAGGAAAGCAATAAACGTAAGGAAGGAAAGGGCAGTGGGCAGGGGAGACCAGACACCGTGGGATCCGGCACTGGTTCTCAGCGTCACGTGGGTGCTGCTCAGACGGGCAGGCTGTCCACCCCTTCCAGACCTGTTGAACCGGAAACGCCGCGGGGGGGCCAGCAGTCTGTTTGAACAGGTTCCCCGCACCTTTTAATGTTTCCAAAAGCATAACCTCAGTGCACTTCGAGAAGGAAGTGCCCCAGATTGATTGTAATGAACTAGACAGGACCCTGACCTAGAAGCTCACCATGAAGGCAGATTCGTAACATGTCCAGTCTGGACAGAACTTCACAGGTGACACACAATGGCCGGATTCAGCAGGTAAGGAACAGGCCGCGAGGAGGCAGCGCTCACCCAAGATCCCGGACTCCAGTCTCCTGGCCCGTCCGTGCCCAGGCCGTCACGTTAGCCTGTGTAAACACATGTCAGTTATGTGATCACTGCCTCCAGTTAGGGAAGGAATCCTTCATGTTATTTTTTCTCTTTTGCAAACCGAGCAGATAGAGTAGAATAGGAACCTGGGGGTGACTCAGCTGCTAGGTTTCCGTGTAGATGAGATTATTCCTTTGGGTATCGCAGTGTTTTTAGAGTACGTCTTCATTTGAGAGTCAGAGGACAACATAATTGTTTGGAGAAGCCTTGCTGTGGTAGTTAAATGAGGAAGGGGTTACAGGCCGTGGTCTTGCTGACTGCTGTGTGGGTCTCTGCCTCCCACCTGACGTCTGCGTTTCCTTCACTCGACAGACCGGGCTCTCTGGGAACCTGATCGTGCTCTCCGTGCTGTACAAAGGCGGGCTGCTGATGGGCAGCGCCCACATGACCGTGGGCGAGCTCTCTTCCTTCCTCATGTACGCTTTCTGGGTTGGATTGAGCATCGGAGGTATATGATCTAACCAGGCGTGGGGAGTTACATGTGGAAAATCGGGTTCTAGTTTCTGAAAGTAAAACTTCACTCTCCAATTCGTCCATCTCTCAGCAAGTAGCTGCACCTGAAAAAGCTCTGTCCTAGAATCTTATCCCCACTCGACCATATTTCATCTTCTGAGGAACCCCAAACTGCTTCCCATAGTGGCTGCCCCCCTTCACAACCCCACCGCCAGCGCACACAAGTCCCCACCTCTTCACATCCTCTCCAGTACTCACTACTGGTTGGCTTTGGACAATAGCCATCCTGACAGGTGTGACGGGATATCACTGTGGTTTTGACTTGCATTTCCCTGATAACGAGGGATGCTGAGAATCTTCTCATGTCTGTTGGCCATCTGTGCGCTTTCTCTGGAGAAATGTTTATTCAAGTCAGAAAGCCCAGAAATAAACCCACAATCAGATGGTCAGCTAATCTACAGTAAGAGAGACAGGATTATACAAGAGGGGAATGAGTCTCATCAGTAAATGGTGTTGGGAAAACTGGATAGATATATGCAGGAAAAAATAGGAAACTGGATCACTCTCTTACATGATATACAAAAATAAGCCCAAAATATATGAAAGACTTAAATACCGGTACACAGAAGACCTAAAACCAGGAAACTCCTAGAAGAAAACATAGGTGGTAAACTCCCTTCGACATCAGTCTTAGCAATATTTTTTTGGATATGTCTCCCTGAGCAAAGGAAACAAAAGAAAAAAGAAACAAATGGGACCACCTCAAATTAAAAATGTTCCGCACAGCGAGGGAAACCACCAATAAGATGAAAAACAACCTACTGGGTGGGACAGCATTCAATTTAAGAAGAGATTGCTGGGGTATTTAACATTGCCAGGTTCCTGTTCAGTCTGTAGCCTAGTGAAAGTTGAATTTTGAATGCCGAAAAGGGAGGTTTGGTTTTTATAGGTATGAATATCGGGGCACGTTATTTCCCTTCAAGTACAGGCTAAGCATTATGTTTTATTTCTATTGCTATGTTTCTGGCTCAGCAGAATTTCCTCTGTAGCACTGTGCTCTGAACTCAGTGGTGGATTAGTGCAGCCGTATGTATTTGTAAATTCCCTGACCAACCACTAAGTCCTTATTAGAAATCAGGGAAGTCAGAGGAGATGCTGAGGAGGAGGGTACGAGACGGAGGGGATTCTGCCCGTGGGGTCCCAGGCAGCTGCCTCGGGTCCTTCTTTGAAAGCAGCAGGTTTTACGTTAAAAGCACCTGTCACTGCCCAGCGGGATGGGAGCAGCGGACGGCTGTGGCCGGCACAGGGACGGATGTAGTGTCTCCCCTCAGGTCTGAGCTCGTTCTACTCGGAGCTGATGAAAGGACTGGGCGCCGGGGGCCGCCTCTGGGAGCTGCTGGAGAGGAAGCCGGGGCTGCCTTTCGACGGTGGGTCTGCAGCGCCTTTGCTCTTTCTCCTGGGGGTCACAG